TTTTTTTTTTTTTTTTTTTTCCTAGTAATCTTTCCCAGAACTCAAATTTAGTGCGACTAAACCTTTGTGGGTGTTCTGGATTTTCTGAATCTGCCCTGAAGACTTTGCTAAGCAGCTGTTCCAGGTAGGAAAGATTTGAGACTTAATTGTAAAGCTTTTGAATCAAATAAAGTGATCCCTCACATCTGAACGGAATTGGATCAACTATTGAGTTATTCCTGACTCTCCACTTTCCTGACATGGAAAATGCAGCATCCTTTGCCCTAGAAACTTTCTGCCTGACCTCTGGAGCCAAGTCAGTTTCATTTGTAATGAAGGGATATTTGTATAATGATTCCTTTTCTTCTTTTTATTTATTACTCTTAAAGTAAGAGAAATGTAGTAGTATTTTTTTGTTTGTTTTGGGGTTTTTTGTTGTTGTTGTTTGTTTTGGGGGGTTTTTTGGTACCAGGGATCGAACTCAGAACTTTGGGCATGTGCTTTCGCTTGCCAGGCAGGTGGCAAAACCACTCAGCTAAATTCCCAACCCTGTTGTAGTGTGACTGCAAGAAACATGACTCCAGAGTCAAGTATTTTTCCCCTACTATATCTGTAGACCTAACTTGTAGTTTTTGATCAAGTATAAGTTGTAATAAATATGGGTGATTGCATTAAGATCTTTATTATTATGAAATGTCAGTACATAGAGGGTTCAGAGCTGCAGAATAGCAGTCTTCTGTGCATAAAATGGTAAGGAATTTCTGGTTTTGTATTTTATTTACAACTTAAAGCAAACTCATTCCAGTAGATGGATTCATGTTCTTCCCCTTTCATTCCTCTTTTTGCAGACTGGATGAACTGAACCTGTCCTGGTGTTTTGACTTTACGGAAAAGCATGTGCAAGTGGCTGTCACACATATGTCAGAAACAGTCACCCAGCTGAATCTTAGCGGCTATAGAAAGAATCTCCAGAAGTCAGGTGAGAGTTTCCAGGCCAAGCTGTGGCAGCTTTAGTCGTAATAACAGATTTCATGTATTGCGCATCTTTTTAAGTTCTCATTTGTATTGCTTGTCTCATTTAGTCCAGTGCATGTATTATTTTCATATGGGGAATTGCTGATCAGAAGAGTTAGGTAAAGGTAGATAATTAGTGACCTTGAGTCATGATTTGAATCCAGGAACTAGAAGGTGAAAACTTTATATTCTAAACAACTTATCTGTAGGCAGAACTACTTTTAATCAACTAAATTGTTAGTCAAAACTCTAATATAAAAACAAGTTAAAAAAAATAGCTAACACTCTGAAGCCATGGGTTCTCCATACATGAATTCAGCCAACAATGGCTCACAAGTATTCTGGAAGAAGAAAACCAGAATATGTTACAGACTTTATTTCTTGTCGTTATTCCTCAAACAATACAGTGTAATGAGTACTTATATAGCATTTACATTGTAGTCATTGTTACAAGTAACTAGAGATGTTTTAAAGTACACAGAAGTGTACTTTAAAGTGTACTTTAAAGTGCATAGATTATATGCTGGTTCTACAGTTGTATATTAGGTGTTGAGCGTCCTTGGATTTGGGTATCCAAGGGGCATCCTGCAACCAGTTCCCCTTGGATACTGAAGGATGATTTTATTTGATGAGTTTTAAGCAGCAGATCGCAGCCAGAGACAGTTTTGCCTCAAGTGACATATGACAAAATTGGGAGACAGTTTGAATTGTTGCAGTCAGAGGAGTGGTGTTGGCACCTAGTGGGTAGAAGCCAGAAATGCTGCTGAACAAGTAATAGAGCAGCAGAATCACACACATACGTACTTACACACACACTCTAGTCTAATGCATGAACAGTAAAAGCAGTGTTATATTGTTTAAATATTTATAAACATACTTATATTTCATTTTTGATTAGTCTAAAAGAGCCATGAAGTTGTTTAAATGAACACAGGCATCTGAAATAGGGATATATGGGTAGCAGATACAGTCTTTATAAACCTTGATATTTGGCTCTGCTTTGTTTTCTGTGTATAATGTTGAAAGAATCTTGATTTGTAGACATGAATGGTTACAAATTGGAAGACTTAAGTTTCATGTTGCAGTCTCAAGCCAGTATTCACTCTGGGGTACACAAAACCTAATCTAGGGATGCACATCAAGCATGTTTTGATATTAGTACAGCTCGAGTTTATTTTGTTTATTGATAATGTTTTTATTATGCTTGGAAAGATGTGAACCAAACATTTGCAGATACTTTTTAAACTTTATTTAGTCTTTGAAAGCCCCATCTCCAGGGCATGATGTATTCTCTAATAAATAAGATATAGCAGATAGTAACTACATAGCTATAGCAAATAGTAACTACATTTTCATGAATGGCCAGAGATTAAAGTCTGTTGACTTTGCAAAGACTCAAGTTTGAATGTTGTCATCCCAATACTTGCTTTATTGGACAAAGGGAGCTTTTTCTTCAGAGGCCTATAAAAGCTGCAGTTTTATCTTGATTTCTTTCCCTCCCTTCTCTACCCAGTATTTCTGTTCAACGTCTTTTCCCTTCATATACACTACTTTAAGACTGATTGTAGTGGTATACATCCTCAAAAATACACAAAATATTTTTTTAAATGGAAAACAAATCACCAATCTAATATGCTAATCTTTTTCCAATGTTTTTTAAAAATGGAACATAGTACATGAAATGCTAGTTTATAATAACTTGTTACTTCCCCAGAGAACTCATTTTCAGTAGCTGTCCTCTCTCATCATAAGATATGTGATATTCCATCAAATAGATATGGAATAGTTATATTAAATCAGTAATATATTCAACTGACTTCTTCTTGATGGGCATTTATACCCTCAAACATTAGTGAAATTTGGGGTTTTTGTTTTGTTTCATTTTGTTTCAGTTTGGTTTGGTGGTTTTGTTTCATGTTTGGTTTTGTTGCTATATAGTTCAACCTGACCTTTAATCAGTACTGTGTACATCCCAGGCTGGCCTCAAACCTCATAGAGATCCTCCTTCCTCAGCCTCCTGAGTGCTAGGATTATAGGCATGCACCACTGCTACCAAACCCAACTGAAATTTGTTATTTTAAATAAATAATTTATTCATTCCACTTAAAAGTAGCTCAGTCTATATAACTTTATTCCACATTCTGAAAAGTTATTTAGAATTTTCGTATTTGCTAACAGCAGTCAATATTTCGGTGTATTTCCTTTCAGACACTTCTTTCTTTCTGAGTATGTATATAAATGTGAGTATATGTGTGTATATGGATTAAATAGAGATTACAGCACACTGCATATATTTATGTTATTTTGTTTTCAGTATGCAGTATCTCCTAAAACTAGAACTTCATGCGTGGTAGGCAGATGCTCCAGCACGAAGCTATGCTTCCCCTTTTGAAAAGTTTCTTAGTAACTACTATTAGCACTGTATTTCATGGAATAGGTGAAGGTTAACCCATTTAACTGAAGGATGAACTAATTATGACTATTACTACAGTGGATATGTTCATGCACATCTATTTTTCTATAAGTGAAATTATTGGACCAAAGGGCCTAGTGTATAATGTTCTGAATACTTTTTTTAGAGATCAGTTCATTGTCCAAAAAATAAATAAATCACATTCAGCTTTCTGAAAGGCTACACATAAAATTAAATGTCCACTTCTGATGTGTGGTAGGTGAACCTGCTTTGCTACATTTCATCTATTAGGGGGTGTTAGTAATTCTTTTCATTTGGTAGCTAGAAAACAGTATTTCTAATTTCATTTAGTATCTCTTACTCCATTTTTTTGTTTGTTTTGTTTTTTTGTTTTGTTTTGGTACTGGGGATTGAACTCAGGACCTTGCACTTGCGAGGCAGGTGGCAGCACCAATGAGCTAAATCCCTGGCCCACTTCATTTTTATTATGTTATATTTTTTAAATTATCTGTTCATGTTCATTAGGTCTTTTCTATTTTTTTTCCTTGATTATAATAAGACTATTGACTCTTAACATAAGGAAAACATTTATTCTCAGTTTTCTGATAATTTTCTAATTGTTCTGTTTAAAAATGGTAATTTTTCAAACTTTTATGTAGTAACTTAAAAAGTGTTCATTATGTGTTTTTATGTTTAGGCACCTTACCTATCTCCCAAGATTTAATAAATAATTGCCTCTATATTTGGATTTAGAACTTTTTAATATATATGGAATTTATTAGGATATATTAGAATTGGAGAAATATTTTTTCCAGTTGTGATAGCAACATTGTATTTTAATAGACCATAAGTTCCCTATTGTAGTGCACAATGTTAAAGAATAGTAGTGATAGCAAATATTCTTGTCTTATTCCTCATTTAATGGTGACCATCATGTTTGCTTGTTTTTCCTAGATGTCTGTACATTAATTAGAAGATGCCCCAACCTTGTCCACCTAGACTTAAGGTATTTTTGTTTTAGATCACAAGTTGAAAAATCTTGATTGCTCATTCAATGGTGAGAAGATCTTAATGTTGAATTGAAGGCACTAAGCAGTACAATTCTAGTGGGTAATTTTGAATATTTTTTCTTCTGCTCTGTTACAGTGACAGTATCATGCTAAAGAATGATTGCTTTCCAGAATTTTTCCAGCTTAACTACCTCCAACACTTATCACTCAGTCGGTGCTATGATATAATACCTGAAACACTACTGTAAGTATGTTTTGTTTTTAACGCTAGTAGAAGGCAGGGACTAAAAGACGTGCCACTTGATGTTAAAATTCATTACTATTAGTAGTAGACATTGAGAACTTATATATTACTAATCTTATATATTATTATCAATCACAAACTGGTTAAGAAAAATCAGCAACATAGAAAAACCAAGGCAGAGTTTTTGCTTAAAATATCTACTAAAAGTGAACTATCTGATTGTTTCTTACACATTTATTAATTTGCTGAGGATATGTTTAAAGTAGTAGCATGCTATACTTCCCTGCCATCTGTGAAACACTTTCAAAAGAAGTACAGGTGGCTTTGAGGGCACTCAGAATATAATTGGGAAGGCCAATCCAATGTGAGTATTGTTTTACTTTTTTCCAAATTTTCCAAATCAGCTCTAGTTGAATCTAAAAATCTTTATCTGATGGGCTTAGAGGGAAATTTCTATAATCTAGTGATATATGTCCTGGGTGCTCAAGGAATGTGAAGAATCAAAACACATAGGTGGTGTATATTATAAGGGCCTAAGCCTCTGAACAGGAGATACTGAGGTCCAAAAAGGTGAAGTGGCACATCCCAAACACGGTGAGTTACTGGTCAGCGTAGGTCTTGATCCAAGTTTTCCTGGGCAGATGTAGAATAGCCCGTGTCTAATTTAGTGTTTCATCTGAGGGTTCATTGTACCTGCTCAGCAGCTTCCACAGGATCGAAAGAGTACAAAGGAAAAGTCTAATCCATTTTTCTTTTAAGATGTGCTATTCCCAAGGTATCCTGGGAATAATATCATCTCTTTCTTTTTAAAAATGTTTCCTTTATTTTACCCCCTGAAGGCTGTAATAATAGTCTTCCTACTGCTAATGTACATCTATAGCAGTTTCACTGAAAACCACAAGAGGTCAGTATTTTGCACTTGGTCAGGTGCCCTTTTTCATAGTGGCCAACATGACCCAAATGAAGCTGCTATACTTATTTAACTCACTATTTGAAGGCCAGTAATTTAATTTCAGCATCCTACCTAAGAAGGGTGGTGGATTTGAACAGAGAATTTATTTAGTTCCCAAGTTAACAAATTGGATCTTAGGAGTTAGTTTCAAGAATGAATAAAGCAAATACTTCAGCTGTACAAGGTTTATTAGCAAAATTAGGGATCTGGTAATTACGTGGTCATTTTAATCGCAGGGCTCAGGGCCTGAACTAATAATATCTTATTTGGAAAATCCTGCCTAAATAGGATACTCATGTTTACTCTTGTGGCTCTCAAATGTTGAAGTCTAAATTTTTATATATGGAACTCCAATTAAGATTCCTGACCCTCTATTTTCTAACATCCAGAACTCCTAGGACCCTCTTGAATGTATCCAAAAGTGTTTCTCTGTCATCTGTTCTTTCCTTTCTTTGGCATCTGGGCTTTTAGTTTGCCTGGGCAGTTTCCCAGGAAAGATTGTGTCTGAATCACTTTTCCATTGCTGAGACACAGTACCTGACATTTGCAACTTAAAGGAGGAAACATTTATTTTGGCTCACTTTTTAAGCCCATAGTTTCATTACTTCAAGGCAGGCAGGCATGATAGACGGGTCTGGCGGTCAGGAAGCAGAATGCAGGGAGAGGCCAGGAAGGGAGACCCTTTTGGGTCATTCCCCTAGTGACCCACCTCTTCCAGAACTTTCTAACAGCAAGTCAGCTAAGGTCCCCATAATCCATACAGCTTTCAAACACATGAGGCTTTAGGGTCATTTAAATCTAAATCATAACAGATTGAGATAATTCTTTTCTGAGGATAATCTTTCCAAGTCTCTTGATTTTCTTCTTCATGCAGAAAGAAGCTGAGTGGGTAAAAAACCAGATGTTTTCTCTTAAGCAGAAATGAGGAGAATCTTTTGAGCTATCACATTTTAATAATTTGTATCCAGTTGTGTAACAGTAAAATTGGCATCCCTGCAGAAAATGTAGAACAAATAAAGCATTTGGGCCCATAACAGGCCTAGTTATGAATTTTCTTTGCATTATTATTACTTATTTTTCTGAATCTAATCTTGGAAAAAGAAAAATGGGTATCAAGGGCTTACGTGTATTCCAAGTAAGCAGTGTATAGAGTAAGATACTGTCCTTGAACTTTAAGTTAAAAGAATGTTTCTTTACATATCAAGTAAATAATTTAATTTATATTGTAAACCCTTTAAGATAAGCTCATTGGTGCCCTATCCTGGAGTTTCTCAAAATAAAATGTCTTTCTCTGTAATTTCAGTCATCCTGGCAACTGTTATACTTCAAATTCATAATAATTCCAGCGTGTGTCATTTCCAGAGAGAAGGTCATCTCTGCTAAAGAATTGAAAGCTAGTTTTTATCTCTAAAAATGGCGAATATTCTTCTGTAAAATAATGTTTTATAACACTTGAGAAATTAGCCTCCCTCCCCCAAGTATCCCTTTTGTTTATCCTTAATTGATCTTATTTTTTAATGTATAAACTTTCTTCTGCTCATCCCATATTTCTTATTCAAGTAAGAAACCCAAGCTGTAGAGTTGGCTGATCCAAGATTAGGAGATATAAATTTCAGTTAGGAAATTAGTTGAAGCATTTCACATTTTATAAAGGAAAACTATTATATAGATGAGGTAAAGAGTAAACCTATGAGTTCATACATATTTATTAAATTGAAGAAATATCCTCATCAGTCATTTTACACTATTATAATGACTTGGATGCTTCATTTCTGTTTACTATCTTTTTGTTTTGGTTTCCTCTTTATTGTAATGTCAGAGAGATTCTTACAAATTTGTTTTTCTGTGTTGTAGGTAATGCAAATACCAGGATGCAGTTTTTTTGTTTCATTCTTAAAACTTTTAAACTTTCTTTTCCTTGACTGATCAGCCCATCTTATGTGGCTCCCTTCTTGTATATAACTCTTAAGAGTGCTGTGACTTCCTTGCTTACCAAAGCTCTTTCCCAACCCTGATGCAGGAACCTTTCTTCCTCTCCTATCTGCCATCCCACGTTTTTCTTACCACCACCTACGGTGTCTTCTTTTAAATATTATCCACTGCAGAATGACTCACAATTTGTCTGCTTTGGATATCCCAGACCGGAACCCTCAGTTATTAGATTCACATGCAGGATTGCTGTCATGTTCAGTGATGATAAGAATAAATACCTAGATTGTGACCTTGCTTTTATATTTGTTTCTACAGGCCAGAAATTACTTTGAGCATAGCAATGTTTTCTACTTTTTCTTTTGATGTGTTACACATCATCAAGCATATTTATTTTACTTAATGCTTTTATTTCCAAATTTCCCTTCATCTTTTATCTCATGAAATTTATTAAACATCTTTAGTGCTTAAGATATTTTGTGGAATGTAAAAAATATATATATATATATATTTAGAAGGGTAATGGAAAAACTAGAAGAGCAAGTTAAGCTTGGTAGGTTTTAAGGCCCACAAGACAGTCTGGGATTCCTGAATACACAAAAATCAAAGGTTTTTAGAACAGGTGAGTACCATAATCAGAGCAGTGCTTTAGGAAGATGCCGCAAACATTAGTATGTAGAATGGGCTGGAAGGAAGAAAGATAAGTGAACAAGTGACACTTATAATGCAAGTTTGACTAACAATGACATTGTAAAAAATAAAGAATGTTTCTAACTCTAGGTCATTGATGTGTTCCTTATTTCTGCAGTGGGACTTTTTTGAAATTCTAAAATAAAATTTTTTTTTCTTTGAGACTTTGTACTATGTTTCCCAGCTTGGAACAAATACCGACCAGAGACAAAGGATCTAGGCACATAGATCTGTGTTAAGAAAAATCATTATCAAAAGCACACAGTATTTACTTTGGGTAAATAAGCTGTGTTTTGTGAACCAGAACTTTACTGTTGACATAGCTGGCTATATTTCACCTAAAGTGAAATACCTAAGGACTGACCTTTCTATGACACGAAAAAAATGGTAATATGTGAGAGGTAAAGGGCTACTGCCTCTTATATGGGTATGATTTGGCACCCCTTTTCTCCATCTGCACCCAAATACGTAACTATCTAAAATATTTTAAGGACTCACTGGTATGGTTGATCACACATAAAGGACTTGTGGATTGTGGGCCATTACTCAGAACTCATCCACCCTGCTGATAGCTTCTCTTTGAGATGGAGCCTACTTAAATAAAGGTCATATCCACTCCTTAAATTTCATGTAACTTGTGGTTCCACCACAGTACAACTTTGACTTTCACCATCACTTGCTAGCACACAGTAATCCCTTTCAGATCACTGTGTAAACCAGGCATGAAGAAAGGAAACAAATGTGATTGGATTTTATTCTTAAACCTCAGAGAGCACTCTGAGGAACCTCATTTAACAAAATGTACCCATTTCCTTAGGCTGTGTAGGTTAGACTGTATAGCCTGTTCTTCCAAGTTTGATTCACATCTGCTGTTCCTTCAAATCATTTCTTGCATATTATGTTTTTAGGTTGCATTTTGTAGACTGTACTACAAGTTATAAAAGTTAAGTCATAACTCTGGTCAGTTTTCAGACACCTCTGAAAGTCTCTTTCTTCCTTTCCAGTGAACTTGGAGAAATTCCTACACTAAAAACACTACAGGTTTTTGGAATCGTGCCAGATGGTACCCTTCAACTGTTAAGGGAAGCCCTTCCTCATCTGCAGATTAATTGCTCCTATTTCACCACCATTGCCAGGCCAACTGTTGGCAATAAAAAGAATCAGGAGATATGGGGCATCAAATGCCGCCTGACACTGCAAAAGCCCAGTTGCCTGTGAAGTACTTATTGCAGGATGGTATCTGTTCTTCCTTTGGAATGGGGGAAATAGGCAGTTAGCCCAACTGCTGGACATTGGGCTAGTTTTATTACTGATTTGCCTTTAGCCTTTGTCCTGCGAGGATTTTAGGGAAGCGTTTGAGAGAATATGAAGTGTTGCTTTTTTAAAAATGACTTTAAAAGCTTCTGTCAACTCTGGGCCCTTAAAAGCCTTCAGAAATTTTAGGAGAATGAGCCTATAATTCCACGATGACTTTTTAAAGATCAAAATTTGAGCCACCTCTGTCAAATGCCCTTTTGATTAAGTCTGTTTTGAATCAAGCTTAAAAAATTACAATAGGCTAACAATTTTCACAGCCTATATGGTAACTTCTATGCATTTTCCAGTATTGTTTTATAAGACACGGCTTAGAAGAACATCGAGCTATGTATGTATTGAGCTGAATGGTCACAGAATAGTGTCTTTTTGGGGGGCTAATGAATTTTATCTTTACATTTAAAATTAGTTTATCAGAAAACCCCATGTAATTCACCATTACCCTTAAATTAAAAGAAAGATATCAGAGGCTTAAAATTGGTATAGGATTTGAAGGCTTGGGAGGCAATTTTATATGCCAGCTTAATCTGAAGAATCCTTTAACATTCAATGTACTGTGTTCCCAGAATTTTAAATTAAGTGAAGAAATATTGTGGTTTTCTAACTTTATAATCAAATTATGTTATTATGGGTTGTTTAGCTTTTTTTAAATGGCTTGCTTTTAGAAAGGGGTATTATCCTAATCAGTCTCTTCTTGAAAAGTTGAATGGGAGAATTCTGAACTGATAATGCCTATTTTTCTTTAGTGCTGAGGTTATTTTTGTATTACTCTGGAATCAAGTATTTTAAATTGTCTTTTTTTTAATGGTCTCTCAAAGTAATTGTTTGAAATTACACTTTATAAGTTACTGGACCTGAGAACAGCTTGTTCCTTTAAATCAGAAATGCACACTAGAAGCAGGCGTTCCCCGCAGTGCACTTGGCCACTGTTTACACCTCCATCCTGTAGAAGAGTTTAGACTCACATGTTGAAACCTTTGATGGCATGAGTGATTTTAAAGACCTGGTACATAGAAGCAAACAGATTAAATGCTTTTTAAAAATCACCAAAAAATAAACCTAGTTTTTAAGTTGATGACCTATTTTCACAGTGCAACCAAAAAAGCCAAAACCCATCATCTTTTCTATTAACCACTTCTTTATTCTGAGAGTCACTTGGGTAGCACATTTGTTTACATACTAACTATCCTGAGCTTCGCTCAAGCAGGTCTCAACTCAACCAGTCAGTTCTTGTATTGAATAAATTTGATAAAATTGTCATTTTTATATTTTCTGTTATATTATCTTAGAAAAATTAATGAAAAAATACGCAATATTTGGTCATCCTGTATTTAAATAATTGGACTGGTAATTGATTTTTTTAAAAAACAAATTTAAAAGGTTAAAAATACGGTAATATGAAGTGCCCTTTTTTGCTCAGGTCTAAGGAAGAACATTTAGTGTTACACAGGAAATAATTATGCTTCCATTTCTTAGTTAAAAAGTGCTAAATACTACTTGAAATTAATTGTTTACAGATTAGTGACAAGGGCTGGTGATAGGATCTGGTTGGACTCTGACCTCCGGTGCCTTCATACACAGTGCCTGTATTTCCAAACTCAGTTCCAACAATAAGCTATTTTTCCAACATGTCAGAGTAATCTGTATTTTTGTATGTGATTTCTACTTTTATAGACTTGTTTTAAAATAAAACACACTTTTTGTAAAAATGAGTACTTGAGCTAAGTTGTATCCCTTTTTTCCTTTTAAGTACATCATTAAAATTAGAAAGCAGTCATTGGGGGCTGCCATTTGGCTCACTAGATTAAAACCCTACAAAACAGTCCTAAACAATGTCCTGTCTATTTCATATACTTGTTAAATTTAAATGGTAATTTATAATGCATTTCTAAAAGGTGCTAAATACTAGTTTATGTCCTTTAAAGTGTTTCCAAATGTAATGGCATTTATAAATCATTTGAATGAGTGATTAGTGTGGTAGTCAAATACTATCAATAAAAGCCAATAAAAATTTTAAATACTGACTTAATGCGTTTATACTACATATTTTGTCATTTAAAAACTATTTGATTCATTTTTTTTATGCCCGGAGGCCTTCTAGGAACTCCATTCAAATGGTGCTATGTGATTCGTGAATATCACCCAGTTTTGTTGATCATTCCTTTATAGTATCTCTACTGTGCCTGTTTTGAATTATGAAAATATCAAATTTATGAATAAGATTATGAACTCCAAATGCAATCTCACTGTGATCTCAACCATTCTTCACTCCCTGCCACATAAACACACAGATCATTTTGAAAAACACTCAGACCTGTACCTCTAAAAGGAAGTGTCCCAAATTAAGTCTGCCTCTTAGAATAGTGACTATTCCTTAATTCTCACCAGTATTTTCGTGGGTTTGTTGTGTTCAGGTTCTTAACATGGTCCACACATTGCATTTCAATGATATCCTTAGAAGTTAATCTTTATGTGCCCTTTTTACCTTGTATTCACCAATGAAACTCACCTGTCCTATACTATATAGTCTGGATTTTACTATAATCCCTGGAATGGTGCTTAAGAGGTTCATCTGTCCCCTATTTCCAGAAACTGGTGGTTAGATCTAGTTTGTCTTAAATCTAGAGAGAGGGTATTTTTGCCTCCCAGGAGATACTAGTAATAGGATGTATTACAAGGTATACTACCATCAAGCTGCCCATGGTGGTACAAGCCTGTTATCCAGCACTCAACAGGCTAAGGCAGGAAGCTTGCCATGAGTCAAGAGGCCAGCCTGGACTACACAGTGAGTTCAAAGCCAGCCTGAATTAAAAGTCAGACCATGTCTCAAAAAGCCAAAACAATAAAAGGTATACATCAATCTCCTTTTGTATTTTAACTGATATCACTTATGGACCCTTGATTCCTCATTCTCCTCTTCCCTATTCATAAGTTCCAGAGTTAAGGATGCTTTGGCCTAAGGCAAAACATTTCTGGATAGGTTACGTTATGTCCCTTCTGTCCTAGTGAAGTCAATTATATTTCAGTATTTTCAGAGAATCTGCCATCTGGAAGATAACTGAACAGCAGCACAGGGGAAGGTTCAGAACATTATGAAGATAGGCAAGTGGCCTATGGGCTATGTAAGTGGAAGGAAACTTCTGTTATGCTGCTAACCCCACAAAAGCACTTAGCACTTTTTTCCCCTCCCTACCTAGCCACATATCCCAGGAAGTCAAAAAAGTCTCTAACAAAATACAGGTCAAAATCCTATGAGTCTGCACTAAACATTTTATTGTGTTGTTTTGCTTTAATGTTTTAGTGAATCTGAATATTAAAGTGCTGATATTTTTATATTTCTCAAAATGAGTACCAAAATATTTACATTAGTTTCGAGCTTTAAAATCAGTATTTAAGGTGTTCAAAACTTAAAATATTTTCTATCTTTAGCTCCTCCTTTAGTAGTTTTCTTAAAAATGTGTTAACTTTTCATAACTTCTTTAATGTACAAAATTTAATAAGCTTCACTGACATGCTGCCAATCCCTTGAGTATTTATGCTTAAAGGCAAAAATAAACTGCATTCGAAAGAAATAAGTGTTCTTTAGTTAAACAGTACATTTACTCATCCCCACCACTATACATGTTTCATCACGTTGTTACACTATCTGGTCGTTATAGATACTATCTTTTGCTTTTTTTCCGGTACCTGTGATCGAACTTGGGACCTGGCACTTGAAAAGTAAGTGGCAGAACCACTGAGCTAAATCCCCAGCCCATACATACTATCTTAAGTATCAGGATACATACACCAGCACAACAGATTAAAATTTTAGTGGTTTAAGTTCTAAATGTATGATATTTTCACAGCTGAGCAATAGGTAATGTGTCCTTAATTTATGATACATTTTTCAACTCAAGTGAATATTTCACAATAAAATATTTGTATTAACAGGCTGTATTATTCTGCTTATTAAAAAGGGAAATTGTAAAATTTTTGTATGTGAAAGCTATACATTTGATAAAACTTGTATGACTCAGTATACTGGGGCCTTCAATATTTAAATGGAACATCAAAAATATGTGACAGTTATCTGAAGAGTCTACATTTTCCATATAAGCACTTCATCCTCTTTTTAAATAACTTCATCATTCTATGTCAAATAGCACAATGAAAAAATTCTGCAGGGCACAGCAATGAGTAAAAAATTCTTTGCATAAAACAGTCTTCTGAGAAAACTTCATTTTCAAATATTGAATCCATGAAAGTTAAGGAAATAAGTAAAAAAGAGGTAACAATGGTTTAATTTTATTCACATATAGTTGCCATTTAGAGGTTAATTCATTCATAAAAACATTTTGGCTATTCTAACATCCTTTGTTTCTCATAGCTTGCAAATAAATGCCCACCATGGAGCAGAACTTACTGCAAATGGAGCATATTAAGAACTTCAAAAATATGGCTTATGAGCAATTTCATACAACAGGTTATCTGCTAATGTTATACATTAACATATCTATGGTAGCAAATGGGCAATCACAATATTCCTTGAAATATTAACAAGCTGATCTTTTTTCCAAGAAAATATTTTTAAACATGCTAAGGGAGATTCTATATTGTGAAATTTTAACTTCTCTATAAAGTGGTATCTTACATATTTCATTTTAAGTCCAACTAGAACTTATATCCACCTCTGGTAAAACAATTTTTATTTTATGTCCATCTAATGCATCATGTAAATTCTTTGAGTGTTTATACAGATTATTCCTAATTAAAAGAATAACAGATTCTTAAGGATATACATCAAAATCTACATTACCTTTTTACTTTAACATTTATTTTTAAAATTTCTGGTAAGGGGGCCGGGGATTTAGCTCAGTGGTTCAGTAGCCTGCCTTGCAAGCACAAGGACCCGAGTTCAATCCCCAGTATCCCCCCAAAAAAAAAGTTTAAAAAATTTCTGTAAGAGCAACATGTTAAACACTGGTTGCAAAACTAAGAGCACTCAATTTGACTATACACCCTAGCTCCCAAAGAGTTTACTTCTGAGCCCACTAGTCTCAAGTTCTAATGATAGTATCCTTTGTTCATCAACATGTATCCAGCACCTAACAGTAAGTCATACATGGCACAGAGTGGGTATTTAATAAATATTTGTCAATGACCACAAAAATTTCACAAGTAAAAAAACCACAACTTTGGATAAATGGCATGAGAATGTCATTTCATTATTCAACAAAGGGAGTTTTTTTGTTAAATATTACAGTATTACTTACTGCAGTAAATCCAAGAATTTTAAAAATAATTTCCTCCAGGAATAAAGGAATTCACATAGTGGGAAAAAAGAAAAGTCATCACATTTTACCCCCCAAAGCTATTATGTAAAGTTTGAAATATGAGATATATGAAACGCATTACAATACTGGATAAAGCAGCTCCAAAAGTAGTTTTACACATTTACTAAAGTACCCATTCTTTTTATGACAATATTCCCAACACTTGAAAATATTTTTTAAAGATTTTGCCAAACCCCTAAGAGACTATGTTTCATTAATTCATCCTTTTAGTCCCTGAATCCATGTTGGAGACCTTTAAAGACAGAAGAGACCTACTGGACTTTAAAAAGATAATCTAAAGTAGCTACTTTAGTATATCTGTAATATCATCATTTTTGTCCCAACAGATGTATTTTACCTGGCAGTGCTGAAATTGAGAATGAAAAATGAAAATACTCCTAAGTAATTTCAAAAATTTTTAAATCAATAAAGATCACATCATTGTGATTTGGAATTAGAAAATTCTTAGCACATATAAAAACCACATTTACCTATTTCAATTAGGTCAATGTCAAGATTTATCAAAATTCTCTATAATCAAAATTTTTACAAATCTTTACTTTTAGGTACTATGAAAAATAAACACTTAAATATGTGACCAACTGCACAAAGGAAGAAAGGGAAGAAAAAAAAAGTTAAAATTTCAAATCCTAAACATTTAATCCTTTATTTAAACCTGCTTAATTTAAAAAGATACAATGTTCTTGGTTACCAACCATAAAAAATAAAAAAATTCACTGGTATCAATTCTAACCTGTTTAGTCCATCTACTTTTTCACACACTCAACATCTTTTTTTTTATTAGAATCCAACAAAAGAATAATGCAAATCTTATTTTCTGTCACCTGTGAGCCTAGGGCAACTAGTCTCAATAGTAACCAAACCATACACACACACACACAAAAAAAAAGCCATATAACTGGTAGTCTGTTTTTCAGTAAAAATATTTTTCCAGTAATCAAAATTTGTCATCTGAGGAAATCCTTCACTGTTCTAGAAGCACAGTTCGAAGCTCATCTTCTTTATCGATCATCATTGAAGCAATTGCCCCATCATTAAACTCAAAAGAAGTTCCTCCATCCACAACCATACAGGCGTCCCAACAACGAGAGCGAACACAAACCCTAGGCAGAAGCATATCAGTAAGTATTAACAGTTTTCTTAACCCTAACAATATAATAACTGAACTTTTATCTGTCTGATCTGGCAAATTATTTGGCCTTGATTTCAAAAACCAAGTAACATGAGAAAATGCATGGCTGTGAACAGTACGGGGACACTGTCACTCTCATCTGTACATGCTCAGGACAGAACCATTCACTAAAATGTTTTAGTGAACAAGGTCAGAAGTGATAAAATTCAAAGGCTGTTTTCATATGATCAGTTATCACAAGTACCTTAAGTACTAAGCAAGTGTTATTTTTTTTTCTCATTGAGTTTATTGGTACATTTGAGATATACAGCAAGTGTTATTTTAACATAAAATTTTTACGTAAAGAACATATATTTAAAAGAGGCACACGTTATTAATGTACACAAATAATGGACACACTTGTGTCATTATCCAAAGCAGCAATCAGTGCCCTCTTCCTGCCACTACCCCTATTCGCTCCCATCCCAAACATACTCACTATCCTATTTTCTATCACTAGTAGTAACAGCTCTGTCTGTTCTTGAGCTTTATATAAATGATATTTTAGCCATGCTAGTGTATGTGGTATCTTCGTACATACTTTAATTTTTCATTTCCCAGATGAATATTAAGCTCAAGCACCTTTTACAAATGGTCTCTGGATAATCCCCTTTACTGAAATTCCTGTGCCTTCCCCATTCTTCTATTGGACTTCATTAATGATTTGCAGGAATTTTTATTTATAGGTTGAATATCCATTTTCTGAAATTCTTGGCTTCAGAAACGTGAGATTTTAGATTTGTTTCAGAATATTATTGTTTTGTGGAATATTAGCATACAAATAATGAAATATCATGGGGGGGCAGACAAACTAAAGTTATGATTCATATATATTTTAACCACAACCTAAATATGATTTTATATCATTTCTAGTACACTACATTTTGACTTATGACCTATCACATGAATATGGAATTTTCTACATATGGCATTATGGCTATTCTCACCAAGTTTTGGATATTGGAAAATTATAATTTCAGATTTTCAGATGCTCAACCTGTACTATATATTTGGCTATGAGCCCATATTGCATATAGGTCCTGCAGATATCTTCCTCTCTCTGTAGCATGCCTTATTATTTGTGTCTTTTATTATAAGTTCTTAATTCTAGTGTAATTCAAGTGATTATTTGTTGTTCAAGTACTTTTCATGACATGTTTAAGAAACCTTTTCCAACTGCCAAAGTACAAAATTACCAAAAATTCAAAATAAGTTTGTATCTTGGAAGGAATCTTTGTAGTCTCATTCAAACTGAGTATAGATTTAATTAATCAAAATTAACTCTCATATGAGTAAGTAAATATTAAGACAGGTTTCCTTTTTACATTTTACCTGGAAAAAAATAAAATATATACTTATAAAAAAATATTCACACTATAAGTGGCATTTTATAATTAACCTGGTCTTTGCTTGCTGAAATGACATTTTCTCATAACTGAGTTTTCTTGTTAGTTTGAAAAATTGGGCAAGATTCTATAAAATAAATTATATTCATTTGAGTATATATTTCTTCTCTCAAAAATAAAAATGAGGGAGGGAGGGCAGGGGTATGGGGAAAAAATGAGAACCAAGACCTGTCATGTAAAGGTACAAGATCCCAATGATGAATTTAACTGTACTGTATACCTAAAATGTACCAATAAACTCAATGAAGAAAATAAATAAATAAATAAAAATGAGGGGCCAGGGATTTAGCTCAGTGGTTCCGGCGCCTACCTCCCAAGCGCAAGGACTCGAGTTCGATCCCCGGTGCCACAAAAGAAAAAAAGGCACTAAAAAAAATAAAAATGAAGCAAATTCAATAGCTGGAGAGTTCACATTAAGGGAAAATCTGAAAGAAATGAATCTTACTCTAACTTAGGTTTTGTATAAATATTTATCCTGCTTTTATTCCACAGCTTACTAAAAAGATTTGCTTTCTAATCAGTTTCTTCTAAAACGATCAATTTTACCTTATTGTGTCTTGACACATAAAAAACAACAAACCAAAATCAACCAATTAAGTAACTATGCCTCTTCTCAGTAACATTTTAGTTTCTCTGAAATCCCAGTTTGAAAGTATATTCCAAGTCAACATGGTTCTTCATTAATTTATAAGTACTCCTTTTCCTACCACATTAAATTTAAACCAACCTTAACACTGCTGCATAATGAATGAATGGGATGAAAATCAAAGTCAGGCCAAGGATGCTTACTTTGAGGAGAAACAACGCTGGCGACTGCTGGAGAAAACTCTGTTTGCTATTGGTTCTCGGATACTGAAAAGTATTTTTGGTTCTTCTGGACTGTACAGCAGTGATTCATTATATTCATCTGTTACTATAAGGAAAAAATATTAGCATATTCAGTGAAGGATGGTCACTTTTCAGAAGTGCAAAACAAAAAAGATGCTATCCCCAATTTAAGTCTGGGAGGAATTTGCTTGGAATTCAACAGCCCCCACTCCCCCCCCACACTTTATAAATGAGTATTAGCTTCCCGAAATAGCCCACAAAAGTATATATCACCCACAATACATAAATAAGTGTAGTATAACTGGGGAAAAATACTAACTACAAAGATAGCAATTAAATTACAATTAGAGAAAATAGGTAGACACACTCACAAGTATCAAAAGTAGAACTTGAGTTGCCACGTTTCCCTGCTAAATTCTTTCCAGAATATTATGTCAAAGAGTTTATAAGGTAACAGTCTTGATATAAAACAGTTTCAAACAATAACAGGCAATAGTCTTTCTCCAATAAAACTGTCATTACTCAAGATATTTTTAGAAATCTTTGGGACCTGATTTTTCCCAAGCTAAGAGGACATGAGGGTTGGCATGCAAAACACAACTGTGTAAGCCAAGCATGGTGACGTGTGCCTCATGCCCCTGTGGCCTCAGCTACACAGATTCTGAAACAGGAGAATCACTTGAGCCCAGGAGTTTGAGGCCAACCTTGGCAATACAGCAACATGCTGCCTCAAAAGAAAGAAAGGAAGGGAAGAAAGGAAAGGGGGAAAGGAGAGAAGAAAGAAAGGAAGTGGGGAGAGGAAAGAAAAAGGAAGAAAGAAACTACCTTATTCACCAGAGTATCATCTGAGTTACTGGTGCTCCTCCACTTACAATGAGGTTTCATCTCTACAAACTCACCATAATCTGAAAATGTTCTAAATTGAAAATGCACTTAATACACCTAACCTATGAAACATCATAGCAATGCAGAACATTAGAGTATGCACTGTTTGCAGCCACCACACAGGATCCTAGGCAGTAAAGCCTATTACCAGCTCAGAAAAAAAAGTCATAGTTTCTATTGAATGTATATCATGTACCATCATGAAGTTGAAAAATTATATGTGGCTCTTTAAAAACAACATTTAATTCATCCCAGAAAAAATAAAAATTTGCTTCCTTAGGAACACATTCACCAGAAATATTCTAGATCTGAAAGAAAATTCAAAGGAATAGTTCCAGAAATGTCAATCAGTGATTGTACAGCTAGCATTCACTACTGCTTCTGAAGATAGTTAAATCTTCAAAGGGATAACATTTATTCAATAAAACTGTTTATTAAAATAAAAATTAATCAGTGCATTTTGCATATACCCTTATTTTATATATGACATAAACCTCAGTCTCTGTGTATGTGCATGTATGTATGTGTGTGTATTTGACTGTCCACTTATCTACTTTTTAGGTTTGCATTTTTTGATTTCCAGATAGCTGCACATATTTATAAGAGAAAATGTGGTATTTTGATTCACATATACACAGGGCAGTGATCAACTCAAGGTAATTAGCATAAACTTCACCTTAAACCTTTACTACTAGTTTCTCTTAGCTCACTTAAAAGACACTTTTGGGCTCTTATCTCTGTGTTCCTTCTTTGTAAGAGAATATCTTTGTCTATGTTTTGTAGCCTGAGTAATTACTTTGAAGATAACATAGTATATTAACTATTGTTAATTCTCTTATTATCTGGTTATAAAATTTTTACTTTTTCATAAAATAAAAAATTTAACACCTTATTATTTCTTTAAGGTTACGTTCTAAGTTAAACTCTACAATTAAGAGTTGATTTTTATACTGTATATGCCCAATTTTGCTTTCTTTGATACAGACTTAATGCTAATCCCCATGATTAAATAATCCTTTTGGTCTCAAATCAAAAGAAAAATCAATCTACTTTAAGGAGCTGAAACCACGAAAAGCAAAACCATGATAAGGAAGTAACTTGCTGCAGTGGCACATGGAATTTAGATATGCATTTTCTATTTGCAAGATACAAATTTCTATTTGCAAGATACAGATTTTTCTATATTACCTATTCCCCAGGACATGTTTATAATTACGTACAATATTTTGGCTTAAGAATTATTATACTTCAGGTCCAATATAAAATCTAGCTTTAATCTTTATATTATTGTTACATTTAAAGTTATTGTATTAAGAACATTTGATTCTATAAACAAAGTATTTTGCTAAACAACTATATACTATCACTCTCAAAATTGATAAACTAAATTAAACTGTTAGTGATTAATATCATTAGTTACTGACCTTTCTCTACCAATTCGCTATTCAATGGAAGATTCAAATTTCCTTGTCGTTTTGCTGTTGAAAGAGGAAAGGTGAATATATTTTCATTAAATACTTTATGTAACAGCTAATATACATTAACATACATATATTATATAACATACTATAATCATATTATAGCATATAATACTTGTTTTGGTACTCACCAATATTTAAAACATCTTCCACAGCCTGACTTGCAACCCTGTTAATATTGAAAGACCTGGAAACAAAAACAACATGATTGTTTTAATTCTAAAAATATGCTAAAAATGTAATGCTTAATATGTAAAGAATTTGTAAGGAATTATTAAGACAAGCTATAAATGAACATAACTAAACACTGACAAATAATGTACTGGTAGGAATACAGAAGTTGCAATTGGAAAGCAATTTATGAACTATCAAAATTTAAAATGAACACATTCTGCATTCTAGCAATTATCTTAAATACATTCCCATGTATAATGTGCAAAGATACATATAAAAATATTTACTGAAGCATTATAACTGTACAACAAATATATAACCATGGGAAGCTGGTTAAATAAATTATAGTTATGATGCTAAAAAGGATATAGCTATACAGTATGATATGGAAGGATAACCAAAATGTTAATTTTTAAAAGGGATTATAGTGTGTGTGTAAAATGAAACAAACACTAGCTTTTCACTATTTTCACTGTGTAGTGAGATAGTAAGAGTTAACTCCCTATACTCTCCAATCTTATACTTTCAGCTTTGGACAAATATGAAAATACTTTGGACATTTTAAGACAAGATGTAGATACAAAGTATTACATTAAAAATTTAAAATCAGTAACATATCAAACTCTTGTTTAAAAACAAAATCTAAGATCTGGTCCTCTCCTACTCACTCTATCTTTCACCACCATCTACCACAGATTTCATGATCTAACCATACCAAACTCTTTCCTACCTCTGTACCTTTGCTCAGACTCAGTATGTGGTATCAAGCAAAACACTGTAAGTTTGCTGTCTTATTCAGTAAATATGTATTCATTAGTATTACTGTTATACACTACAAAGCTCTGAGGGTACTAACCTGGCTCAAGGAAAGGATTCAACACTGAACAAAAAAATGTTAAAAGCAAGGGAGAGACACCCAGAGCAGAGGGTAAATGAAAAAACGGAAATGAAGTATTTGTAAATAGGGAAGGGGGGAGGGGGTGAAGGGAGGGCAGGGACAAGGGGAAAAAATGAGAACCAAGACCTGTCATGTAAAGGTACAAGATCCCAATGATGAATGTAACTGTACCGTATACCTAAAATGTACCAATAAACTCAATGAGAGAAAAAAAAAAAGCAAGGGAGATAATGAGTCATATTCTAAAATCTAAAAGTCATACAAAAACAAATTATTGGGCTGGAGATTTAGCTCAGCAGCACAGTGTTTGCCTGAGGTCCTCAGTTTGATCCCAGATACAAAAAAAATTATGATTATTAGAGTTCAAATAAATGTCAGAAGATTTAATGACTAATATATCTTTATAGTAAACACAGAATTCTTATAACAGCTTACTATAATGTTCCAAAACTGAATTATTAGGGATACCACAAACCAACACTAAACAAAAATTCTCTGAACTGGACTTATATTAACATTAGTTTTCTAAGGTTGTAACCAGGACTTTAGTCAGTTCAGTCTACCTTTGGGATCAATAAGTTATGTTCTAAATCAAAGACATACTAAAATTCCATCTCATAAAAATGTCCTCTCAGCCAGGCACATTGACAACACGCATGTAATCTTAGAGGGAGGGTGCTAAGGCAGGAAGACTGCAAATTGGAGGTCAGCTTGGGCAACTTTGTGAGACCCATCTCAAAATTTTTAAAATATTACTGGAGGTGTAGCTCAGTGGTACAGCGCTTGCCTAATACTAGGCACTGGGTCCAATGCCCAGTATCATAAAACAAAACACAACAAACAAATCAACCCCCAACCTTAAGTCTGACACAGCAGAATATATTCAGGAGGAGGAAGGAGAGCAGCCTTAGGAATAAACTAATTGAAATATGGTGATTCCATTCTGACTTCTAGTGTGACGGATAAACCATGTAATACACTGGCTTGAAGACTGAGCTAACAGACAATTCAAACATTTGCTATTCAATACAACCCCTGTATCTGAACCCTGTAAAATAATTTTTGAGAAACCAAATATAGGAATCCTAAACCCTTTTCTTTTCCTTAGACATATAGTTAAGTTTTAGTTTCTAGTCCCTCTCACCATATAACCATGTGAGTTCTAGCTAAAGGAATCAAGAGTGGATGTGATGGGCAGCACTTCCAAGCCTGGCTCACCAGCCTCCCGGGGGGTTCTCCATGGTCTTTTTCTGTGGCTTGACACAAATGAACACCGTGACTTCAGGAGCTATGTTTAGAAGATGGCATGGGCAAAGATGGAAGGAGCCTGGCTCCTTGAATTGCTGCTGGAAGGAAAGCTACCTACCAATTACTCACTCTGTGCTTTATGAGAATAGGAAATAAACTTCTACTATGTGGAGCCATTATGTTACAACAACTAGCTTACCCTGAGTTACACATTTCCATATTTCTGTATTACAAGTATGCACTGACATGGTCATGTAAAAAATTTTTATTTATCAAAAAAAAAAAAAAAAAAAAAAAAAAAAAAAAAAAAAAGAAAGAAAAAAGAAAACAAGACTATCTTAACTTTTTCCTTCCAGTGAATCCTCAGGGCTTTGCAGTTTAAAGTTAAGTCTCTGATTTAAATCCTGACTTCACCATTTATTAGCCACATAGCTTGGAGCAAGTCAGTTAACTTAAGAGACTTCATACTCTTTAATGAAAATAAGATCACCTACCTCCAGAGTATTTGTGATAATTTAAATAATGCAATTACATGGAACCAATAAAGTACTAAGAAGTAGTATGTGATAAAATAAATTATGATGTATAGAAATGTACAGATTTCTCCCAGTCCCTCTTGCTCCCAAGGTTCTCTTCTCTCTCTGCATATTCCAAAGAGAAAGAACAAAAGACATATCTCAGCAAAAAGCTCATCAGTAACAAGAAGGAAGAGGACAGAGAGTTAGAGACAAGCAAGGTGCTCAAAGCAAGAGCTTAAGGATAGAATGTGGAATTCTACTCTAGAGTATTTTGTTAACCAATACAGAGAAGGCTGAAATTCTAATCTCAGCCTTACTTATTTAAATGTAACATGTAGCTCTGGTTATAACATGTATCTCACTGTAAAGGTCCTGGGTTCAATCCCCAGTACAGGGTGGTGGTGGGGATTAACCATGATTGCTAGTCTTTATGTCATTATTGCTAAAAACTTGACAACTGAAACTATCAAATTCACATACACACACACACACACACACACACCCCTCACACCCTCACTTTCCAAAGGAAAGTCAAAGCCCAACTACATTTAGCAAAAGCACTATTTAAGATTAGCAAGTTTCTTGATAATTTTTCAGTTCATCAAAACTGCTATAATTTGAGTATGTCCCCTAAAGTTCACATCAGAAAATCTACAGTGCAACAGTATTGAGAGAGGGAAACTATGAAGGAATTAGATCACAAGTGCTCTGCCTACATGAGTGCATTAATGCTGTTAACTCAGGGCAGGTTCCTGACAGAAGAATGAGTTCAGTCCCCTCTCTCCCATCTTCTGCAATAGGATGATGCAGCAAGAAGCCCCTCACTAGGTGCTGGCAACGTGATAACAGTCTCGCCAGCTAACTGTGAGAATAAACTTTTGTTCTTTATAAATTACCCACTCAGCGGTATTCTCAAAATAATATGAAACAGACTAAGACAACAATGATTCAACTTTCAACTGTGACTTCTATAGATGTCTTAGAAGCTCTCTTCTCCATTTAAAAGCTGACTACCTTGTAAGACAGCACAAGTAATGACAGTGAAAAAAGTACTCAAGCATACTGTGCTCGTTATCCCAGTTCTGATACTAGTTGTGTGAGTTGGCTTAAATTGTTATCTTTGCTAAACTTCCGTGTCTCACCCTCACACATACAACCTGTACTGGGGATTAAACCCAGGGCCTCTGCACTGAGCTATATCCCTCCTGCCCCCTTCTTTTTTGAGACAGGATCTTACTAAGTGGCTAAGGTGCCCAGGCTGGACTGGAACTTGAAATTCTCCTGCCTCATCCTCAATGACAGCTGGAATTACAGGCTTGTTCCATCAGGCCGAGTTAACTTCAACTTCCTCTTTACAAAAAAGAATAGTACTAGGGACTGGGGATTTAGATTAGTGGTTTGGCTATCTGCCTCACAAGTGCAAGGTCCCAAGTTCAATCCCCAGTACTCCCCCCAAAAAAAGGGATAGTACTATATATCCTTTCAGGATTTCTGTAGAGATCAATGCATACAAAATGTGTGATACTTTTGACTGCATAAAATAGAAACATAGAGTATCTCAGAAGTTCAGAAGATAAAGTAATATATCTATTCCATGTCTCACATCTTGCAAATAAGGAAACTTATAAAGGGTTACAAAACTAGGTACTGGTTTAAGCAGCTGTCCTAACCCCCAGGCCAATATCCTCTTCAATCATAGCACTGTGCCCATTTGAATAGATGAGAATGCTGGGGGAAGACAAGGGAAAGAATTTGGGGAACAATTTGTAATTCTCATTTCAGTTTCAACAGGTAGCATACTGTTTTCCATAAAAATATGCTACCATGATAAATGAAAGCTGTTAATTATGTTTTTAATTTAATCTATGAGATAGTTATAAAATAATTTTAGAGCATATTACATGGTTACATTTATTTTTTCAAATAATTATTAGAAAAGTCATTTTAGAAATGTTTCTCTTGTCTATAGCCATACTACCCTGAACACACCCGATTTCATCTGATCTCGAAAGCTAAGCAGGGTCGGGCCTGGTTAGTACTTGAGTGGAAGAAATGTTCCTCTCACTTGACCTCAGGAAAATGAGATGTTAACTTATCATTTTAAATACTTGGGTTTTTTCCAAAATATTATTTTGTTTGATGAAGACAGTTTTTTTAAAAAAAAATTGTAGTTATTTAATATAGTACTTATGAATGAAATGATACGATGCCTAAAAATTACTTCAGAATAACATAGGATAAAGAACATCAGTAAGTTTAGGATACCAACAACAAAAAAAAACAGGCAGATCGATAATTACTAAGTTGCCTAGTGTGTAAATGGGGGTTCATTACACTTTGTCTATTTTTATATAAAGAAAAATACCAGTCACCAGTTCAAATCCCTTAAGTTGCTCAAACTAGCTACATATTAGCATATTAGATAATAAGATGACAGGTGCTATAATAGCACTGTGAAGAAAGTGGTAGGGAAAAGCAAAATAGGGATTAATTTACTGCTTATGAATGAGCATTAATGAAGATTTCCTAAAGAGAATGACATTTGAAGTCTGATTTTTCAACTAATGGATGGAGAGTGGAGAGTGTTCAGGCATTTGGAGCAGGAAGAAGTTGGCAGAGAGAAAACAAAAAGCCAAGAGAGATTAAACCATGTGCTAGGAATTGCAAGTATCCTGCTGCAGTGTCTTCAGTGTGCTGATGGGTAGGTGTTAGGGCAGAGCAGGAAATGAGGCCAGTAAGGTACTCAGTAAGTGAATGGAGCAGAAACTAGGTCACCTACATAACACTGAGCTACCTCATGCATAGTAGGTACACCAACATGAGATATCAAATAAATTATGTATTTAAAATATTTCATAAACCTCGACAAGCAACATCCCAACTTACCAGGCCTTTGATCCTGTCCCAGTACACAAATTGAGCCCTGAACTCTTCTGTTTCTCCCACGGGCCATCATCCACTGAGATCTCATAGTAGGACGCCCTGTGAACAGAGAACATAAAATGATTTTTGCTGAGCTTGCAGCTCACAGTAAATGAAAAAGACACAATCTTCTTTACAACTGATGAAATCTAAGTCAGTCAGCTTCACCAAGACATATCTTCTTATTGACACACACATTATGCCTCTAATTCCAAAGTTAATTAAGTGCAAAAGAAGAAAACATTTTTTTGTATGTCTGGGCGCCTTTCTGATCTACGTGCTCCTCGGTATCGATATTTTAATACATCAAACAGGGCCTCGTCAATTTTTACCTAGCATGGCTACTACTACTTTTATGGAATCCAACACATACAGAGCTCCATCTCAAGAGTTCAAAAAGGAAAACAGGGATCTCAGATGAATTTCATTTTCATGGCTAGTCCTTGATATATCTAAATCTATGTAATGCATGGAATTATCAATTCTTCCTTCTAAACTCGTTTCTTCAGTTATACTGTATGTTAATGGTGCTAATGTACTTTTTGAATTGGTAGTAATCTAACAGAGACAAAAAGCTGAAAAGAAAAAAATTTAGATCACGTTAGATTAGTAGACAAATTAGAATAAAATTAGAACTAATTTCTTTCTTTTTTTTTTGAAACTGGGTTCTCTCTATGTAGTCTAGGCTGGCCTTGAACCTGCGATCTTCCTGCCTCAGCCTCCCCAGTGTTAGATGACAGGGGTGTATCACCACAACCTGCTTGAACTAATTTCTTAAGAGATTAACATTTCTTAAGCCGGGGATTTAGCCCAGTGGTTCCAGCGCCTGCCTTGCCAGCGTAAGGTCCTGAGTTCAATCCCCTGTACCAAAAAAAAAAGATTAACATTTCTTAGACTATTTTATAAGTATATAATTAAGTTCTCTGACACCAGCAAAAATTGCACTATTCTTTAACCCCAAATATGTGGAATGATTTCTAACTACTCAAAGAACTTTAGAACTATGTAAACGCCTATTTTGTAAATTCTGTTTTAAAATAATGGTATCACTGATCAACGCAGGATTATTTGTTCTCCATCAACTAAAAAAAATTAATGCCTTAACACAGCTTTTCAAAATAATGACAACTATTAGACACTCTTGCTAACACACTCTACAGATAAAACTTTATTTTAACCCTTATAATTTCTCCTGCAAGATCCTAATTTGTGAGGTACACATGGAACAACTCTATATTTGTTTCTCTGAAGTTAGCGTTCCTTATAAAAACAAAAGACAGCAAGCCCAATATTCACATTTAATCTACTTCATATCTTTGTTAAGTCTTCTTAGAAAATGAACATCGGGAATGTGTTATGTATAGACAAGCTAGCCAAATACAAAGAAATGGCTAAAAAAAGGGATTAGAATTAAATGGGAAAGAGTGGAAGAAAAGCAGCAGTGGAGAGGAAGAAAAGCATAGTCAGTTAAGAGATGTCAAGTTCAAAACAATGAGCAAATTTAGTGTCATTCTCACATGCAGGTTTATTGAGATTAGTTAATTCACAGAACTTTTGTTTGGGGGAAGATTATTTTTTAAGGCAGCAATAAAACTCACATTCCCTTTAGAGTGGGTATACTTCTTCTTAAATTGTCCACTGCTACAGCCCAAGAATAAGACATTCTAGGTTAGAACAAATAGGAGAAAAGAAAAAAAAAATTGGGCTTTTAAAATGTTCTTAAATCTAAGAACATTATAAATGAGAGAGGAATAATATTGCTGCACCTCATATTTTCCAAGCAAACTACCAAAGTTTTATGAACATAATAAAGCCTCAATACAGGGTATGAACTCAGAAATAATGGGCTTATATAATAGTTTCAATGCTAAGTATATAACATTGGGCATGTTGTTTGAACCTTCCAAATTCCAGTTTTTTCCACTAATAACTAACTTATCATAGGAATGCTATAAGCATTAAATGAGATTACACAATACAAAAAGCTTGACATACAGCAGGCAAATAAATTTTCTTTTTCTACCTCATCATCACAGAATCTTCAGAAGTAAGTTCTAATACCTTCGGTGGTTACAATGTGTTCAAGAGTATGTGAAGCCCACCCAATGCTGCCTTTATTTTAGTAAAGATATCAGGTGAAGCATCAAAAAACACAAAAAGAAGCAGCATCAGACACTACCCTATGGGACTTAACTGATTCCCCCAAGTGTATCATCTAATCCCAGTTTTCCTCCTTTCATAAGTTATTTAATTTTTTAGTAAGTACAAAGTATAAGGCATTGCTAGTAAAAGCTCTCATAGCAGTTAACTACATATTTAAAATATAGAAACAGAATAAAATAAGCCATTAAATGGCTTGCCTAGAGTAAGCAAAGCATAAACAGAAAACATTTATTTTTGTCATCCATTTAACTTAATGGATTTTTCATCAATCTCATTTGAAGTTATTGTTCTGTCTTATGTCTTTTGGTAGTAATGACCAGATTACATCACTAATTAGTTACATCTTCTCCTCTCTTCTGTCACATGACAGTACCTCTTATCTCCATATTGCTTCAAACTGCGTGTGACACAAAAAGCTTTATATATAGCAAAAGTTTTACCATGTTAAATTAAAATTTACATTTAATTTCCTTTAAATATTTTATTTCTTTGAAAAATAAACTTCACTTTTAACATTAAAATTGGCTAGGATCAGCTAGTTACTTCAAGCTGGTAAGTATGTCACACATAAAGCTTTACAAAAAAAAATCTGGCCAATAACTTAAGCCTAAATTATATTTCATTTGAACGAAACAGATTTAATCAGTAATGAAATTCATACTACAATTTCACAGTCTTAATAAGGAACTCTATTAATTCTAATTTTTGCTAATAATTGTTAAAATCTCTAACTGTCAATACTCACTACACTTCCCTTCTGATCTGTTACACTAAAAAGGGCACATCGCCACCTACTCAGCAATCCCATCAAATTGCCTAGTCTGAGTCAGGCACAGTGACACATCTTAAATCCCAATACTTGAAAAACTGAAGTTAAGAGGATTTCAAGTTCAAGGACAGCCTGGGATACACAGTGAGATCCTGTCATAAGCAAAAGCAAAAAAAACAAAAAAACAAAAAAAAAAAAAACAGTCTAATCTAAGGTAGTGAAAAAAGTCATAAAGATCTAAAATAAGGGACATTTTTCAAACCACATGGCTTAGACTACTCAGAAATACTGCTGTCATAAATAACAAAACAGGAATGGGACTAAGGAATTATTCTTAGTTAATTTTAAAGAGTCATAATGGCAAACTGGCCAAAAACAATGTGTTATTCTTGACTGGGTCCCAAATAAAAACAAGTAAACAGATCAACTTTAAAGGATATTGAAGAAATTTTATTTTTTAATTAACTTATTTATTTTATATTTACTTATTTTGAGACAGGGTCTCACTATTGTAGTTTACACTGCCCTGGAACTCACTATGTAGCCCAGGCTGGTCTCGAACTCGTAGCGATCCTCCTGTCACAGCCTCATGAGAGCTGGGATTACTGGCATGCACCATCACACCCAGCTTTAATTTTTTTTTTTTTTTTTTTTTTTTTTGAGACAAGGTCTTACTATGTTTCCCAGGCTGGCCTTGAATTCCTGGGATCAAGTGATCCTTCCACCTCAGCATCCTAGGTAGGTGGGACTACAGGTGCACACCACGACACCTAGCTCTAGTGGAGAAATTGTAAGGACTGTAAGGACTGTAACGTCTATAGAAGTTCTGTATCAAATGCAAATATATATCTAGTATATCACACTCTAAACATTTACAAAACATCTGTATAAAAGATGCTACAAAATGATCCCATAAAGAAACCTGAATAACTCAGTTTAGTGTAGGGTTTTCATCAACTTTTTGGGTCACAGAATGTTATTTTCCCTGAATGTGTATTAATGTGCATCATGGTTTAGAAAAAAATTCATTAAATAATTAATTTGTTCATCATACAGTATTATTTAAAAATCTTAGCTAAGTTGTAGAAATTAAATAAATACCCCAAAAAAGTCCTACAACATTAGATTCCACATTGAAGATCACGGTTTAAAAGTACCTGGATGAAAGACTCTCCCCAATGAAGACTTCATTTAGTGCTCTCACTGGCAAAAGCTGGGGTCCTGAAGCCTCAGACCCTGAAGTATTGGGGGAAAAAATTCCAAATTAGCTCCATAAATTTTAGAAATATTACATAAAAATTATAAAGCATTAAAGCTTGTGTAGTTTTAATAGAATTGTATTATTTAATGTAATTCACATAAATATTTCTTAAAGTAATATAAACCTTAAAGTTTATATTATCTAGCCTTTAACCAACAAATGAAGCTTCTATTACTCCAAAATAATCTTAATTCTACTTGAAACAATTTTTTAAAAGTCATAAAATATATTTATACAATTCGTAAGATTCCTGTCAGTTTTACCTTGAAAGCTTTAGAGTCAGAACTGACCAAAGTACTTCCAAAGAAGCACCACCTTGGATTAAAGAAGCTAATTATAGGAACTAAACTAGATATGTTAAAAGATCTTTAATGTTTTGTTATTGTTACTGTTTTCAAATAGAAAACGTCAAAAGTATTTTTAGCACCAGCAGCACTGAAGAAACACTGCCCTAACTTCCTTCAGGCCTCTTAAACTATATCATTTTTTCTTCTTTTAATCTATAAGACTGGTGCACACTTTAACTAATTTTCTGTGATTATATATAATTCCATCATAGAAAACCATCCAAAGGACTCACAATGCCTTTTGAATCAACTGTGACTGTCATCTTCCTAGAATCTCCTTTACTTTCTGTCTATTATCAGCTTCCAACTAGAAATGCCAATCTCATCTCATCATCAATGGTAGCAGTTTAGGAGACTGCACTCAGTCTCCCACCAGGCAAGCACAATGGAACAACTTCACTTTGCTGTTCCCTGTACTGACTCTTAAGTCAGTGATTAAAAGTCCATCTCAAATGTGGCAGGCAGCCTCCAAGATAGCCTCAGTGATTCTTGTTTTGTGGTACTCATACCATTATGAATAAACACTCTCCTACATCAGACCAGGACTGTCCTATGTGAGCAATAAAACATGTCAGAAGTGATGTCATATACCACTTCTGAGATTACATTAGAAAAGACACTATGGTTTCCTTCATCATCACTCTCTTTTTCTTAGCTCACTTGCTATGACGGAACACATGTCCAAAGATATGGCCTTTGGAGAGACGAGTGTGCAGAAGAACTGAAGCTTCCTGCTAGCAGCATGTGCTGAGCTGAGTCAATCCGCCAGTCCAGTCACATCTTCAGATAATACCACCCTCATGGTTGACAGCTTGACCTCACCTCCTGAGAGACTCTGAACCAGAACTAGCCAGTTATGACGTTCCTGCATTCTTGACTTTCACAATCTATGTAAGATTATAAATATTTATGTTTAAGATGCTAAATTTTGAGGAAATTTGTTACACAGCAATAAAGACCTTACACACATTAGTTATTGAATACACTGAAAAAGCCCTTCTCCTAAAACAAGATCCTCCATGTTCTCTGTATTATTCTCCCCAAAAGATATTGAAGATTCAGTAGAAAACTCAGAAGCCTTAGAATATGCCAGAGCCACTATTTGGAAGGAGCCTGGGCTACCCGAACACCCTTCGCATAATGAGTTGAGCTAGTAAGAAACCTTAAATTGCATTAAGGCACTGACATATCTGGATATATTTGGTGAAACCAATTCACCTCTCCAAATTTATATGACTAGCCTGGCAAATAAGAAAGTTAGTAGTTACATGACTAGAACTTAGAAGAAGAAAATAAATAATTCAACCCTACCAGATCCTCCTGCAGTTGTACTGATAATAATAAATGAGTTTTTATTAACTTGTACACAGATATAAACTGGGTAAAGATCAGTTATATTATATAAGATAGAAAACTTCATTTATAGCTAGGTACTATGGTACACACCTGTAATCCCAGTTACTTGGGAGGCTGAGGAAGGAAGGAGGATCACAAATTTGAGGCCAACTTAGAAAACTTAGTGAGACCCTGTCTCAAAACAAAAAAATACAAGTAAATATATAAAAAGAGCTAAGGATGTAGCTCAGTCCTCTTGATTTTGGAAAAAAACTGTTTTCATTTGTTTAAAGTTATATTGTCTCTTTTTTTAAGGTGAAAGGTTAAAAAACAAGAATTTTTTCCCTTCTCTCTGTTCTTTTGCTTTAAATTAGAAAGTTAATTCAAGAATCAAATGTTAGTATATTTATAATCTAAACTTATTCTGTATTCAAAAATCTCAAATGGAAGCTTCTTGGAAAGTATTTCTGGCAGCCTGAAGAGAATATAAACCGGAAATAGACTATATACCCTGAAATTGCTTTGGATTTTTTCTCAAAAAACAAAGATACAAAAAAACCTTCTAAAAACAACAAAAACAGTCCTGTATATTAGTATCTAATATTGCACTGGTAAAAACCATATAAGTGTTAATGGAAATTATAGTAATATAATTGTAACAACAATATCTAACATAGCTACTAGCAAATTTAAAGCTATCCTGATTCCAAACATTTTAGATATAAAATAACCTGCTCCAACACCACTACTACTATCTCCTTCTCTCTGGAAGCCAGCAATATTTGTTTCTTCCCTGGTTGCTGAAAACTGTGGATTCCTTCAATTCAGATTCTTCCCTACATTTTGAGAAATTTTCTTGCATTATTGTTTTAGTTAGAACATTTTTTTTTCTTTTTCTAAAACTACCATTAATCAGGTTTAAATATCTTGCACGGTGAGTTATCACTAAGTTTATATGTACTTGTTTTTAGGGGTTTTGTTTTTGGTTTTTGCTTTACTGAGGATTGGCAGGTTCTCTAGCACTAAGATACATCCCTATTCCCTGTTAAAATTTTGAAAAAGGGTCTCATCAACTTGTCCCCTGGCTGGCCTCAAATTTCCAATCCTCCGGCGTTAAGCCTCCCAAATAGTTGCAATCACAGGTATGCAACACCATGGCTGGCCATCATTGTTTCAATATATAAAATGTGAATTTAATTTATAAATGAAACCCAGTGAATCCAAGACATGTATCTGAACAGTGACTCTCTGTATGCCAATCTATCTTTTCCTAAAATTATATGCCTTAAAGAAAAGTGCCAATCTTTTAGAGGTAGCAGTAACATGTTTAAGTGAGAGATACAATAAAACTTCTAGTGATGATTTTAAAATCTTAACAGTTACTGAAGACTTTCAAAAAAACAATGAACATAATTTTGGGGCACTAGTGGTACTGAGGATTAAACCCAAGGAGCACTGAGTTTTAACTACTAGAAAAAGTGGGAAAGTATGGCTAATAATCCAGAAATAGTTCCAAGCTGAGAATTCACCTTAATACTCATATTTTTAAAAAGAGGGGCCAGGGATTTAGCTCAGCAGTTCAGTGGCCTGACTTGCAAGCGCACAAGGACCAGAGTTCAATCCCTGGTACCAAAAAAAAAAAAAAAAAAAAAAAAAAAAAAAAAAA